GAAAAAAAAATTAGGAAAAATTGAATTTAAAATGAGGAAAATTGACTCCGCAAACTAGCAAACTAGTTTGCGAGAAAGGTCATGGAATGGAATTAAATCGCAAGTAGAGGTTCCACTGTAGTGGTAAAAAGCAACCTTTAAATAGATTGACACTATGATATGAAATTAATCTGAGAGTAGGATTTGCCTTATAACATAAAGTTTGAGCAATTGATATCACTAAAGAAATATTATTTGAGGCAGTTGATACTAGTTAGTGGAAGATGGAATAAGGAATTGCACTGTAGTGTAGTAGATGCTTACACTAGTTTGTTATTTGTAGTTTAGGAGCAAAGGGAAAATTAGGCAAGATTATAGAAGAATTATAACAGTGCTTAAGTAGGAATAAATGGTAATACAGATATTATTAAAGGGTATCTTATTAACAAGTAATAAATTGTGAAAGGGAAATCTGGGAAGATAACACAAATTGGGTCACACAAGGAACTGTGTGGGACACACAGGATAATGAGGTAGTAAATACTATCCAGGAGGTGATAGTACAGAGATTAGTTCAATAATGGCATAATAACATACACTAACATAGTACAATATTTGGTCACTAATATCAGTCAGACTCTGTAATGTTTGCATCATGAAGGAAGTTCGCTAGTTCATTTTCATTTGTAATATAGTACACACGGCCTACATTTGTTTTTCTTACTAGAATTTGTCCATCACGTACAAAGCACTGGTGAATTTTATCATTATTCTCATGTTTCAGTTTTCTCACTCTGTACAGGAGGTTTAGTCGTTTTCTTGTGAGACACTCATTTATGTATACATGTATATATTTTTTTGCTTTAATAGATGAACTTATTAGATTTTTTCTGTCTTGTGTGTGAAATCTGAGCATAACACTTTTTCTCCCTTGGTTCCCTAGCAACCGTGATTCTTTAATTTCCGACACTGGCACATTAACCTGTAGGTGGTCACGTATGATCTGGAGAGTTGTTTAAGACATAATGAAGAATACGAAAACTCAAATCATGTTTAAACAAAACATGTCCAAAGCTGCATACCTCTGCACACCTTCCCTGCCCCATCTTATGTATTTTATCTCTATATCAAATGAAATTAAAAGTGAACATAGGAAAGAGCAAAGTGATGAGGGTAACAAAAAATTTAGGTAAATAAAGACTGGATATCAGATTGGCAGGAGAGAGTATGGAAGACTGTGTTCAGATATTTGGGAGTTGGCAGAAGTGCCTACGAAAAATGAGGGGGAACCATGAGGAAAACAAGGTGTGCAGTGCATGGAGGCATCTGTGGAGACAAAGAACATTGTCCACAAAGCTAAGGGGAATGTATCATAGTGGCATCAACACTCTTACATGGATGTGAAGCACGGGTTTTGAACGCTGCAGCAAGGAGGAGGTTGGAGGCAGTGGAGATGTCGTGTCTGAGGACAGTGTGTTGTGTAAATATTATGCAGAGACTTTGTAGTTAGGGCTAAAAAGGGGACTGCTGAGGTAGTTTGGACATTTAAAGGGGCTGGAGCAAAATAGGATGACTTGGGGGGAAATGTAAATCTGCAGGGGTGGGAAGGAGGAGTGGGGGCCATCCCAGTTAAGGGTTTAGAAGTAGGTGCTCAAGGAGGTTTTGTATGTGAAGGCTTGGACATCCAACAGACGAGTGTGAGAAATGTTTGATAGGAATGAGTAGAGGCAAATGGTTATGATTTGATATTAGTGTGAGAGCAAGGCAAACATTTTTGAAGGGATTCAGGGAAACTGGTTAACCCTGACTTGAGTCTTAGAAGGGGGAAAGGCACAGTGCTTGCACTCTGAAGGACATTTTGGGGATATTGCAGTTGGGAGGGGCATCTGAGCTGCAGTGTTGGCACACTTCTAGAAAGATGGTGAGGGAGTAATGATGGTGAAAATGATTCTTCTTTTTCTGGTTACCCTACCTCCATGTGCCAAAAAAAAAAAGTCAACTCTATTCTTACCAAATTTTTTACAAACTCTCTTTTTATTCCCGTTACTCTATCAGATCTTCTTGCCCTATCTGGGTTTTTTTTCCACTTTTTTCATTCGTCCATCAATACACTTTATTTTCTCATCATTGTTACTGATTTCTGTGAAGGCATATCCATGCTTTGACCAGATTTTTGACCACTGTGTAAACAAAGGCTCTGATACTTGTTTGTTTTACAATTTAAGAGTAAAATCCATAAAGCTTCTGCGTCTCAGAAATCTTTTGAATTAATACTTCCATTACATATATTCAGGAACAACAGATGACTACTTTATTCTCTACACCACAAAAGGTAGAAATTGTCCTCCTCTCTTTAAGCAGGAAAGGTTGTGTATATCCACCCTAGTAGATATACACATGTATGCTATACATGTGTCAGAGACTTGTGGAATGCATCCTTGTTTTGTTTCTTCTTTATCGGGTCACCCTAGCTCAATGAGAGATGGCAGGTGTTAAAAATAAATAGGCCACACTACACATGCATGTACAAGCATACCAAACCATACCCCGGCCGGGATTGAACCCGCGGTCATAGAGTCTCAAAACTCCAGCCCGTCACGTTAGCCACTAGACCAGCTAGCCACAATAAGATTCGTCCAACTAGGTATATTTCTACACCATAGGAAGGTTAGCACAGGCACCATTGTGACCACAAATGCAAGTTTTTACAGACGAATCTCCAGCTAGCGTGGCCATGACGAACTCTAGCTCAAGTCCCTTCACTGCCGTCAACATGACTCACGAAATCGTAATGACACGATTGCAAACAAACCATACCCCGGCCGGGATTGAACCCGCGGTCATAGAGTCTCAAAACTCCAGCCCGTCGCGTTAGCCACTAGACCAGCTAGCCACAATAAGATTCGTCCAACTAGGTATATTTCTACACCATAGGAAGGTTAGAAACAGGCACCACTGTGACCACAAATGCAAGTTTTTACAGATGAATCTCCAGTGGTGCCTGTGCTAACCTTCCTATGGTGTAGAAATATACCTAGTTGGACGAATCTTATTGTGGCTAGCTGGTCTAGTGGCTAACGCGACGGGCTGGAGTTTTGAGACTCTATGACCGCGGGTTCAATCCCGGCCGGGGTATGGTTTGTTTGCAATCGTGTCATTATGATTTCGTGAGCCATGTACAAGCATATATATACACACCCCTCTGGCTTTTCTTCTATTTTCTTACTAGTTTTTGTTCTTGTTAATTTCCGCTTATCTCCCTGGGAAACTGAAACAATTCTTCCTCCGTAAGCTATGCATGTCATAAGAAGCGACTTAAAATGCCAGGAGCAAGGGGCTAGTAACCCTTTCTCCTGTATACATTACTAAATTTAAAAGGAGAAACTTTCGTTTTTCTTTTGGGGCCACACTGCCTCAGTGGGATATGACCGATATGTTGAAAGAAAGAAGGAATTTTTTTTTTTTTTTTTTTAGGAATTTAGCTATGCTTTATTTTTCAAAATAAGAAATATAGTTACCTGTGAAAAGGATCCTTTTCCTTGAGAAAAACTAAGGAACTGTTGTCGGAATTGAGTATTCATTAGCTGCTGACGTAAAGAGGAATCATTGGAATGCTGACTTGACTGCTGACTTGTTATCTATTACAAGAAAATAGAAACACTTTATTAACACTAAATAAAATAATCTGTCATGTTATCTATGAATACTAGATACTATAATTATCCATAATTTAAATTGTGAAGAATGAATTAGAGTACAGTGTACTAGAACTCATTCTTTAACAAATACAGTGGAACCTCGGTTTTCCTCATTAATTCGTTCCAGAAAGCCTGATGAAAACTGAATTTGACAAAAACTGAAGCAATATTCCCCACAAGAAATAATGTAAAGAGATGATTGTGGATGTTATGAATGAGAAAAAGCTGGATGTCCTGGCTTTAAGTGAAACAAAGCTGAAGGGGGTGGGAGAGTTTCAGTGGAGAGGAATAAATGGGATTAGGTCAGGGGTTTCAAATAGAGTTAGAGCTAAAGAAGGAGTAGCAATAATGTTGAAGGATAAGCTATGGCAGGAAAAGAGGGACTATAAATGTATTAATTCAAGGATTATGGGAGCAAATAAAGATTGGATGTGAAAAGTGGGTTATAATAAGCGTGTATGCACCTGGAGAAGAGAGAAGTGTAGAGGAGAGAGAGAGATTTTGGGAAATGTTGAGTGAATGCGTGGGGAGTTTTGAATCAAGTGTGAGAGTAATGGTGGTTGGGGATTTTAATGCTAAAGTGGGTAAAAATGTTATGGAGGGAGTAGTAGGTAAATTTGGGGTGCCAGGGGTAAATGTAAATGGGGAGCCTTTAATTGAGCTATGTGTAGAAAGAAATTTGGTAATAAGTAATACATATTTATGAAAAAGAGGATAAATAAATATACAAGGTATGATGTAGCACGTAATGAAAGTAGTTTATTAGATTATGTATTGGTGGATAAAAGGTTGATGGGTAGGCTCCAGGATGTACATGTTTATAGAGGGGCAACTGATATATCGGATCATTATTTAGTTGTAGCTACAGTTAGAGTAAGAGGTAGATGGGAAAAGAGGAAGGTGGCAACAACAAGTAAGAGGGAGGTGAAAGTGTATAAACTAAGGGAGGAGGAAGTTCGGGTGAGATATAAGCGACTATTGGCAGAAAGGTGGGCTAGTGCAAAGATGAGTAGTGGGGGGGTTGAAGAGGGTTGGAATAGTTTTAAAAATGCAGTATTAGAATGTGGGGCAGAAGTTTGTGGTTATAGGAGGGTGGGGGCAGGAGGAAAGAGGAGTGATTGGTGGAATGATGAAGTAAAGGGTGTGATAAAAGAGAAAAAGGTAGCTTATGAGAGGTTTTTACAAAGCAGAAGTGTTATAAGAAGAGCAGAGTATATGGAGAGTAAAAGAAAGGTAAAGAGAGTGGTGAGAGAGTGCAAAAGGAGAGCAGATGATAGAGTGGGAGAGGCACTGTCAGAAATTTTAATGAAAATAAGAAAAAATTTTGGAGCGAGTTAAACAAGTTAAGAAAGCCTAGGGAAAATATGGATTTGTCAGTTAAAAACAGAGTAGGGGAGTTTAGTAGATGGGGAGATGGAGGTATTGGGTAGATGGCGAGAATATTTTGAGGAACTTTTAAATGTTAAGGAAGAAACAGAGGCAGTAATTTCATGCACTGGTCAGGGAGGTATACCATCTTTTAGGAGTGAAGAAGAGCAGAATGTAAGTGTGGGGGAGGTACGTGAGGCATTACGTAAAATGAAAGGGGGTAAAGCAGCTGGAACTGATGGGATCATGACAGAAATGTTAAAAGCAGGGGGGATATAGTGTTGGAGTGGTTGGTACTTTTGTTTAATAAATGTATGAAAGAGGGGAAGGTACCTAGGGATTGGCAGAGAGCATGTATAGTCCCTTTATATAAAGGGAAAGGGGACAAAAGAGACTGTAAAAATTACAGAGGAATAAGCTTACTGAGTATACCAGGAAAAGTGTACGGTAGGGTTATAATTGAAAGAATTAGAGGTAAGACAGAATGTAGGATTGCGGATGAGCAAGGAGGTTTTAGAGTGGGTAGGGGATGTGTAGATCAGGTGTTTACATTGAAGCATATATGTGAACAGTATTTAGATAAAGATAGGGAGGTTTTTATTGCATTTATGGATTTAGAAAAGGCATATGATAGAGTGGATAGAGGAGCAATGTGGCAGATGTTGCAAGTATATGGAATAGGTGTAAGTTATTAAATGCTGTAAAGAGTTTTTATGAGGATAGTGAGGCTCAGGTTAGGGTGTGTAGAAGAGAGGGAGACTACTTCCTGGTAAAAGTAGGTCTTAGACAGGGATGTGTAATGTCACCATGGTTGTTTAATATATTTATAGATGGGGTTGTAAAGGAAGTAAATGCTAGGGTGTTTGGGAGAGGGGTGGGATTAAATTATGGGGAATCAAATTCAAAATGGGAATTGACACAGTTACTTTTTGCTGATGATACTGTGCTTATGGAGATTCTAAAGAAAAATTGCAAAGGTTAGTGGATGAGTTTGGGAATGTGTGTAAAGGTAGAAAGTTGAAAGTGAACATAGAAAAGAGTAAGGTGATTAGGGTGTCAAATGATTTAGATAAAGAAAAATTGGATATCAAATTGGGGAGGAGGAGTATGGAAGAAGTGAATGTTTTCAGATACTTGGGAGTTGACGTGTCGGCGGATGGATTTATGAAGGATGAGGTTAATCATAGAATTGATGAGGGAAAAAAGGTTGAGTGGTGCGTTGAGGTATATGTGGAGTAAAAAAAAACGTTATCTATGGAGGCAAAGAAGGGAATGTATGAAAGTATAGTAGTACCAACACTCTTATATGGGTGTGAAGCTTGGGTGGTAAATGCAGCAGCAAGGAGACGGTTGGAGGCAGCGGAGATGTCCTGTCTAAGGGCAATGTGTGGTGTAAATATTATGCAAAAAATTCGGAGTGTGGAAATTAGGAGAAGGTGTGGAGTTAATAAAAGTATTAGTCAGAGGGCAGAAGAGGGTTGTTGAGGTGGTTTGGTCATTTAGAGAGAATGGATCACAGTAGAATGACATGGAAAGCATATAAATCTATAGGGAAGGAAGGCGGGGTAGGGGTCGTCCTCGAAAGGGTTGGAGAGAGAGGGGTAAAGGAGGTTTTGTGGGTAAGGGGCTTGGATTTCCAGCAAGCGTGCGTGAGCGTGTTAGATAGGAGTGAATGGAGACGAATGGTACTTGGGACCTGACGATCTGTTGGAGTGTGAGCAGGGTAATATTTAGTGAAGGGATTCAGGGAAACCGGTTATTTTCATATAGTCGGACTTGAGTCCTGGAAATGGGAAGTACAATGCCTGCACTTTAAAGGAGGGGTTTGGGATATTGGCAGTTTGGAGGGATATGTTGTGTATCTTTATATGTGTATGCTTCTAGACTGTTGTATTCTGAGCACCTCTGCAAAAACAGTGATAATGTGCGAGTGTGGGTGAAAGTGTTGAATGATGATGAAAGTATTTTCTTTTTGGGGATTTTCTTTCTTTTTTGGGTCACCCTGCCTCGGTGGGAGACGGCCGACTTGTTAAAAAAAAAAAAAAAAAAAAAAAAAAAAACATTTTATAGAGAATAACTATAGTTTTACATACTGAAAACAATGAGAAATAAATATAAACAACTAATGAAATGGATAAATGAACATTTAATATCACTTTTACCTTTATTGAAGACTCTTGTTGGCGTATGGAAGACACGAGGAGGGGAGAGGGAGGAGGAGAGGTTGTTGGTTGGAAGAGGAATCCCCCTCTATAAGGACTTCAGGTATCAAGTCCCTATCCGGGGTTACTTCCCTTCTTTGTCCTTTACTGGCACTGGACCCCTGTTGCACAAAAAAAATTTCCAGAGAGGTCTGTTTCTGGCATCTCTAAGATTTGCCTAAAATGGGACAAGGCATTGTCATTGAACATGTTGCAGACATGGCTTGCAACAGCTTTGCTAGGGTGATATTTCTCCACAAAACTCTGCAGCTCACTCCACTTTGCACATGTCCTTAATCACTGAAGAAGACACCTTCTTCCCTCTCTCTTCCTCCTCCTCCTCCTCCTCCTCCTCCTCTGAAGCAATTTCCTCAGCTGCATTCTGTTGCTGTTCCAGTTGAAGGTATGGCAGCTCTTTCCTGTGGCCATCCATCAACTCCTCCACATCCTGGCCACTCACATCTAACCCCATGGACTTCCCCAGAGCCACAATAGATTCCACAACAGGCATAGGGTTGTCAGGGTCAGCCTCAAACCCTTCAAAATCCTTCTCTTCGACACATTCTGGCCACATTTTTCTCCAAGTAGAGTCCATCGTCCTAGAAGTCACTTCCTGCCAAGCCTTATCTATAAGGCTTATGCAATTGAGGATACCAAAGTGATTCCTCCAGAACTCTCTTAGGGTCAATTCAGTGTCCGAGGTCACTTCAAAGCACCTTTGAAACAGTGCTTTGGTGTAGAGTTTTTTGAATTTTCAAATGACCTGCTGGATGAGAGGGGTGGTAAATGGGCTGGATGAGAGGAGTGTTATTAGGGGGCAAGAACTTCACTGTGATGAAACTAAACTCCTCCAACAACTGGTCTTCCAAGTCTGGAGGATGAGCAGGAGCACTGTCCATTACCAGGAGGCATTCTAGTGGCAATTTATTGTCCAGGAGGTATTTCTTCACACTTGGGCCAAACACTTCATTGACCCACTCAATGAAAATTTCCCTCATGACCAATGCCTTATTGTTAGCCTTCCACATCACACACAATTTACCTGAGGTGATGAACGAAACTGGGTCAAAATTTTGACAAAAAAAGTCGTCGAAAATCGAATTCAACTAAAACGAGGGCAAACAAAAACCGAAGTTCCACTGTAAATTTTCCACTGTAAATATTAATAAAGCAATAAATACACATGAAAAGTATCAAGTTCTTGAGATTATAAGAAGTAATACATTATAAAAAAGTTAGGCAAACTTTTTTTTGTCATCAAATGCAATATTTAAATTTACATTAAGAAGTAAAAAAAATTAATTATATTAATAAATTCTCTAAACAGATACAGTGGACCCCTGGTAATCGGCCGGTTCAGTTATCAGCCAACTTGGTTATCAGCCGGTTTTTCGGCGCCCAGTTATCGACCACTAACCCTTTCAGGGTCCACAGGCCCTCTCAGAGACTTGTTCTCAGGGTCCCCCAAATTTCAAAAAAAAAATTATTTTTTCTTATGAAAAGATAAGAGAATCTTTTCCCGATCATAACGACACCAAAAGTACGAAATTTGATGGAAAACTTACGGAATTATGCTCTTGCGAAGTTAGCGGTCTCGACGATGTTTACGCATCGGCGATTTTGCGCACTTTGAGCCTTATTTCCGGCCAATTCCAGTGTACTAGTCGACAAAAATCATACCTATTTCACTAGAACTCCATTTTTTTTATCGAACGAGTACAAGAAACCACCCATTTACCAATTTCAACTATCCAATAAAGTGGTCAGAATTTAGCAATTTTGCAAATTTCACACAAATTTCAAAAGATGCCAATTTCCAAATAGGGTCCAGAATAAACAAGGACATTCCTGGCACTAAAATAACATTTCCGGTGTTCATTATTCACGTCCCCATGCCCCTCTTACATTCTTTTGCTTCCCATTTTGAATTTTTATTCTCACAAAAAATACAAGATTTGCTGTTATGCAGACTACTGCATTAGTGTAGAAATGGTATAAATAATATCGGCACACTTGTGAAAGAATATCAGACTTACCAGTTGACGTGTATTGGACGCTTAGCATGATTTGTTTACTTTTGAACTTTGGTAAAAATCGAACATTTCTGCTACTTTGAGCTCAATTTCAAGGTACTTTTCATTGTAAAACCAGTCAAAATCACCTCAATTTCTGTAATATGTCTTCCATTCTATAAAATGAGACCAGGAAAACTAGAATACAACAATAAATACCATACGAAAATACAGTGCAAAATCGCTGTTTTAATCCCAAAACACTGTCAAAGTTTTTTTTCTCATTACACACTGTGTGCTGCAGGATTTTTTTATACTGCACACACTGACCACATAGACCCACTCTTTCATATGTAGGCCTACCAGCTTTCTCTCGCTAGATTTGAAGGCGCTAGAATTTATGCGTACTAGTACGTCATGGACACTGGTGCGTAAGCCGTACTCGTACGGCCGAAACCCTGAAAGGGTTAATTCGGTTATCGGCCATTTGGGAGGCATCCATCCACCGGCTGAGGTTGCTTGCGAGTCAGTTTGGCTTTGTCTCTGGGCGAGTGAGGAAGCTTCTGCTCATTCATCCAAACATTTTGCTATAATCCATTGTTTTTTGTGGTTACTGATTGAGTACAACTGCAAAATAAGCAACCATGGGCCCAAAGAAACATGTTACATAGTACTATATTAAAACATGCAATGTTTATATGTGATGTATATTTAATAATAATCACTGGTACATTAAATGTCTTATTTTACATTAATATAGACATCTTCATTAATCCATCTATGATATTTTCTTCAAAATTATGTAAGAAACACGTTACATAGCATATAAACATGCAATGTTTATTATTTATTATTATTATTTTTATTATCACACTGGCCGATTCCCACCAAGGCAGGGTGGCCCGAAAAAGAAAAACTTTCACCATCATTCACTCCATCACTGTCTTGCCAGAAGGGTGCTTTACACTACAGTTTTTAAACTGCAACATTAACACCCCTCCTTCAGAGTGCAGGCACTGTACTTCCCATCTCCAGGACTCAAGTCCGGCCTGCCGGTTTCCCTGAACCCCTTCATAAATGTTACTTTGCTCACACTCCAACAGCACGTCAAGTATTAAAAACCATTTGTCTCCATTCACTCCTATCAAACACGCTCATGCATACCTGCTGGAAGTCCAAGCCCCTCGCACACAAAACCTCCTTTACCCCCTCTCTCCAACCTTTCCTAGGCTGACCCCTACCCCGCCTTCCTTCCACTACAGACTGATACACTCTTGAAGTCATTCTGTTTCGCTCCATTCTCTCTACATGTCCGAACCACCTCAACAACCCTTCCTCAGCCCTCTGGACAACAGTTTTTGGTAATCCCCACCTCCTCCTAACTTCCAAACTACGAATTCTCTGCATTATATTCACACTACACATTGCCCTCAGACATGACATCTCCACTGCCTCCAGCCTTCTCCTCGCTGCAACATTCATCACCCATGCTTCACATCCATATAAGAGGGTTGGTAAATATACTCTCTACATTCCCTCTTTGCCTCCAAGGACAAAGTTCTTTGTCTCCACAGACTCCTAAGTGCACCACTCACTCTTTTTCCCTCATCAATTCTATGATTCACCTCATCTTTCATAGACCCATCCGCTGACACGTCCACTCCCAAATATCTGAATACATTCACCTCCTCCATACTCTCTCCCTCCAATCTGATATTCAATCTTTCATCACCTAATCTTTTTGTTATCCTCATAACCTTACTCTTTCCTGTATTCACCTTTTTCTTCTTTTGCACACCCTACCAAATTCATCCACCAATCTCTGCAACTTCTCTTCAGAATCTCCCAAGAGCACAGTGTCATCAGCAAAGAGCAGCTGTGAATGTTTATTATATGTGATGTATATTTAATAATCACTCTTTGCCACATTAAATATCTTATTTTACATTAATATAGACATTTTCATTAATCCATCTATGATATATTCTTCAAAATTATGTAAGAAACACATTACATAGCATATAAACATGCAATTTTTATTATATGCGATGTATATTTAATAATCACTCTTTGGCACATTAAATGTCTTATTTTACGTTAATATAGACATTTTCATTAATCCATCTATGATATTTTCTTCAAAATTATATAAGAAACAGGTTACATGTCGTGTAGCATATAAACATGCAATGTTTATATGTTATCAAGTGGAGAGTGGGATGGAGAGTAAACATTGTGTTTTCTCTGATGCAGCGTTAGAGAAAACTGTGAATCTGGCGACTAGTGCAGTAACCGCCCTTCATATGCATTTGTTTACAATTCTTGGCATGAATTATTCATTACTTCTCCCTCTGTTTATGATGGTATCTAAAGATAGTTGTTAGAAACGATTAAACTCAGTGAACATGGTAATAATATGGCTGTGTAGTGTAATAATTATAGCTGTGTATTGTAATATAGCTCTGTAGTGTAGCCCGGGGGGGGGGGGGGGAGGCACATACGTGTACTGTACCTACACTGACTTCCTACAAATACTACTCACCTCTTGCCCTACATCAAGACTACAAATATTTTAAGGTTAGTAATGAATGTACTGTAGCAGTAAATGACAGATTAAAGAGGTGTGTGCAGTGTGGATTAGGGTGCAAGCTTTTGTATTATTATTATTAAAATCAAGGGGGAAGCGCTAAACCCGGAGGATTATACAGCGCCTGGGGGGGATGTGGAAGGCATTCAGGCTTAATTCTGGGAACTGGAGCACAGATCCAATTCCCTAAATCAAGAGCCCCTCACCAACATCAAGGAATCTTCCTTGAGGGGCAAGCTTTTGTAGAGAAACACCACCCTGACCAAGCTGAAACAAGCCATATCTGCAACATGTTCAGTGACAAAACCCTGTCCCACTTTAGGGAAATCTTAGAGAGATGCCAGAAACAGACCTCTATGGACAGATTGTTGTGAGGCAGGGGTCCAGTGACTCTCAAGCTGGTCCTAGTGGCATTAAAAGACAAAGAAGGGAAGTAACCCCAGAGAAGGCTTTGCTACCTAAAGTCTTTATGGAGGGGGATTCCCCTTCCAAACACTAACTCCTCCCTCTTTCCTCTTCCCTATCTTCCAGAAGCCAGCATTAGCCTTCAATAAAGGTATGTAAAACTTACATAATTGTTAAATAATTACTTTTTTGTGAATATTTTTGTCTGGAACGGATTACTTGTTTCCATTGGAAACATTAATTCGGCTTTCGGCCATTTCGGTTATCGGCCGACCTTCTGGAACGGATTACGGCGATAACCGAGGGTCCACTGTACCTCAAAATTTTACCAACATCACTTTAATGTCTCTTAAAACACTAACCATCAATTTAAAATGTTAGCTACATTTGCTTTTGTAAGACCAGTGCCTCCTCAAACATTATACTTCACTACACAAATCACAGCTTTGCTACAGAAAATACTGTTCCTTTCTCTGAGTAATCACTGTGATTATATTATGCATGCTGTCAGTCACCACAATTAGTTTAGCAAGTTGGTAGACAAAAACCATCCAAGGGGGTAGTACCATCTTTGTCATAAGATTGTGAAATAAATGCCTGCTAAATGCTTCACATTTTGGAAGCATTGCAACTCTTCAAATATTACCAGAAAATGCGCACACGTACATGCGTGCGTGCTGTGCTGTGCTGTGCGTGCGTGGTGTGTGTGTGTGTGTGTGTGTGTGTGTGTGTGTGTGTGTGTGTGTGTGTGTGTGTGTGTGTGTGTGTGTGTGTGTGTGTGTGTGTGTGGTGTGTGTGTGTGTGGTGTGTGTGTGTGTGTGTGTGTGTGTGTGTGTGTGTGTGTGTGTGTGTGTGTGTAAAAAACAAAAATTATCTTAGGTTATGATTAAAACTTACTTTGGATGTTAAAGAGAGAGAGATATGAGACAGCAGAGACTGTGAATTATCAGGGTAATCTTCACTAGTTGGCTGGCATTCTGTCTTTTTTTCTTCTGATAATATTGTTCTTTCTTCAACTTTAGTACCTAATTTGAGAGGAAAGAACAATGTTTTTATATGGTATAGACAGTCAATATACAATACCAAATTAGTGCAATTCCACAGATGTATACAGATACATTATACCATTATTTATATACAATATTACCTATGTTACACTGCAACATTAAAATATTTATACATAGTCTTACCTTCAATACTTGCTGCAGATACAGGTATCCGAGAATCAACTTCTGCAACATAAGTGTCTGTCTTGCTACTTGTGTTTCCCTCATTATCTAAATATTCAGCTAACTGTACTGAGCCAACAGCAGAATTCTCTCTTGATTCCAGAGATTTAAGCATTAATTCATCAAAAGATACACTTTTTTTTGAATTTGGCTTTAACTCTAGGTTTATTTGATCTTCAGATTCTTCCTCTAAAGGGTTTAATTCTTCAAACAATGTTCTCCTCCTCTTGTAAATGATTGGAGATTTACCAGATTTTAATTCTTTCCCTTCCCATGATACTCTACGTTTTGTGCTTCTTTCCTGGCACTGTCTCTTATCTTGGCTCAATTTTTCAGCAGATGGACTGGAAATTTTTTCAATGGGAGTCAGATGTAACACTTCCAAAGCATACGAGATTTTTGGTTGAGGTGTGCTAGTTTTTAATTGCTGAAGATTAGTGGTCTCTGCATGAACATCACTCAGTCCATCAGAAGAATTTTTCTGAGGTCTTGTTTCTTGGCTGGTTGAGGTGTTACAGGACTTGGAATTATGATTTTTACTGTCAGATGATGCTTTATTCTGTTTTTTAGATGATGAAGGATCATCATCATCATCATTATCCTTGTCATCGTGATCACTTTTCTTTTTAATAGATTTAAAAATTTTGCGTGCTTTGGTCCACCTGATAACTTCTTCTGGAGAAGGTGGAGGCTTCACAGGAGTTAGAATAGAACATTCTGTTTTACCTCGATTTTCCAGAAAAGCTGATTCATGGATCACATGTATGCTTGCCTCTGAATTTAAAGCCTTTAGCAATAAACGCCAGTTGTACAATCCATCTTCTTGAAAACGCCCCTCAAAATCTTCTAAATCTGATGCTATTCCAGATTTTAACTTCAAGACCTGCCCCCCAATTTCAACAGGCTTTGAAGGTATATCACCAGGCTTGCTACAAAAAGCAGGTGGATGCAGAACTTCTGGAAGGTTATAGTCTCCAAGAGTTGAGAGGATCATGTCAAACGTTGGAGGAGGAGGAATATACATCAAAATCTTTGAACATTTCTTGCTCATTTCAGGTCCAGGTGGCTTTGTCTTTTGTTTTCCTACTTCACTCTTCTTGGATGGTCCTTGTCTCTGGTTCTTTGGTAAAGTTCCTTTTCCTACAGTTCCTGAATTCTGGTTCTGCCTTTCTTCATGACTGCTATTGCCATCTTGTTCCCTATAAAATCCAGGAGCAATTTTCTCCCCAGTATGAGTTGTCACAGAACACTGGTTGTAAATATCAGCTGCATATAGTGGAGTATTTATGGATGTTTTCACCAAAATGGGTGTTGACGAATTTTTCTCTAGGATATGCTGAGAATTTCCTTCCACTACGGGTGATAATAAAACACTGTCTCCCACATTATCTGCTGACTGCTTATTTTTTGGTGGCAGAGGCACATACTCTTCTTCATGCTCAGTTGACTCGCATATTCCACTTGGTATGTATTCAGGTGTAGGCTTATCAAGGCCAACTGGGTGAGGACTATACTCATCTTCCTGTTCTACATTATTTGGTGGTAAACACATTGGCTTTGGTATATATTCTTTTACAGCACTCTCTTTTGAAAGAGGCTTGGGTACGTACATGTCAACTCTATCAGCTTCCTCTAATTTTTCTTTGTTTTGTATTCTATTCTGAAAAGATTTAAGGGTGCATTCATTTCCTGTATCAGTCCACAGAGAACCTCGAATAGGCTTGGGTTCATATTCTGGCCTTGAAGTTCCTTTGGTAATGGATTTTGGCTTGTACAATAGCTTCAAGGATCCTTTACTGATGGACAAAGGTTTATATTCAGGCTTCAGTGAGTGCTTACTAAGGGAGTGGGGCTTATACTCAGGGTCTGAAGAAAATTTTCTAATTGATTTGGGTTGATACTCAGGTTCTGGGGCCCTCTTTGAACTAGAATGAGGTTTATATTCCAAATTAGTATTTAGTTTTTTGCGAGGACTAGGATTGCTATCAATCTCAGATTTTGATTTGCGTCTTGATTTTTTCTTTACAATTACCTTAGACAATGGTTGTGGCGTATATCTCTCTTCTACCAATCTTCGTTTCTTAGAATGACGATTTACCTTGGTAAAATTTTTTACACGTTCTTGGCCACTTTCCTTTAAACTTAGGTCTGATTCAAATAAAAAATCTAAGGGTTTCTTAAACTGATATTTAGACTCTTGAACACTTTTTACTCCTCTGGCTTTGAGGGTATTTGAAGCTTGAAATTTTTTGGGAGTGTCAGACATATTCTCAACAGTTCCATCAGATTTACAGAGGGTATTATCTCTCTTATGAGAAACAGACGATTTTCCAAACAAGTCACTTAATGTTTTCTTTAGTTTAGCTTTACGCAATTGTTCTTCAGATGTTAAATTAGACATTTCATAATTATCAGAATTGTCAGTAATAGGTGGCACATCACTGAACACATCATCTAGAGCCTTCTTAATTTTCTTATTCCTCTCTCCCACTACTTTTTGTTCAAAATTTGGTACAGCAAACTTGGCTTCTTTCTTAGCTGCACTTTTATCTATCGTAAATTGTTGTGTATCTGCAACTGCTTAGATCCCGATGCATCTTCACTCATTTGAGATCCACATACATCTCTTCTCACCTGAGGTTGTTTACCTGCACTCTCCTGATACCCGTGTAGACTTGCACTCGCTTTATTATCTTGTATACCTATGCTTGTCTGATGTACTTCTTCCAGTTTTCCATTATCTTGTAGACTACATGGAGTTCTAGTAACTAAATCTTCCTTCTGATTATCTTCAATAACCTCATTAGTGATTCTCTTGTTTGTCTCTTGCATTTCAACATCCCACCGGCTCCTCTTTTAGCAGATTCTCCAGAATTTACATCAACAACATCCCACCGGCTAACATTCTTCCTTTTACTGCTCATTGTTACTGTCTTCTTTTGGTAATAACTATTAACTTTTCTCTTTCATAATTTTGGCTTATAAACACATGTAATCCTTGTAGAGGTTCTCCTTCTCAATGGAATAAACCTTTACACTTTCACTAAAAGAACAGTCAACCTTGTGAATTTTATTTCATTTTCAATCTGTCTTCTTTATATATGGAAAACTTTCCTAACTATTTTCACTATTAAATGAAATCTGAATTTCACATTCTGAATTAGTTCTTCTTTTTCTAAACTGTTGTCAGATTCATTTTCATGTCTCTGGTCTCTTTCTTTATTCTGATTACTTGACAATTGCCTTTGTTTACAAGAATTCTTATGTTTTTATCCTCCTGAACACATTGCTCTTTTCTTATCTAACTTTTTCTCTTTAAAATTGATTTTCCTTTTTTCCTTACTGGTCTATTCTTTTTTCTTACTTAAACATTTGCTTTTTTTTTTACAAGATCTTTCTTTGTTTTTATCCTTTTTCTCCTTAACAAAGATTGCTTCTTTTCATCTAATCTGCGACTTTTTTCTCTTTTTTCCTTACCTGAGATCTTCGTCTTTTTCCTTACTTGAAGATTCACTGTTCTTTTCCTTACTTGAAGGATTCACTGTTCTTTTTTACTTGAAGATTCCTGTTCTTTTCTTTATTTGAAGGATCTCTGTTCTTTTCCTTACTTGAAGGATCCCTGTTCTTTTCCTTACTTGAAGGATCTCTGTTCTTTTCTTTACTTGAAGATTCAATGTTCTTTTCCTTACCTGAAGGATCTCTGTTCTTTTCCTTACTTGAAGATTCACTGTTCTTTTCCTTACTTGAAGATTCACTGTTCTTTTCCTTACTTGAAGACTCATTGTTCTTTTCCTTACTTGAAGACTCATTGTTCTTTTCCTTACTTGAAGATTCACTGTTCTTTTCCTTACTTGAAGATCATTTGTTCTTTTCCTTACTTGAAGACTCATTGTTCTTTTCCTTACTTGAAGACTCATTGTTCTTTTCCTTACTTGAAGATTCACTGTTCTTTTCCTTACTTGAAGATTCACTGTTCTTTTCCTTACTTGAAGACTCATTGTTCTTTTCCTTACTTGAAGGCTCACTGTTCTTTTCCTTACTTGAAGACTCATTGTTCTTTTCCTTACTTGAAGATTCACTGTTCTTTTCCTTACTTGAAGACTCATTGTTCTTTTCCTTACTTGAAGATTCACTGTTCTTTTCCTTACTTGAAGACTCATTGTTCTTTTCCTTACTTGAAGGCTCTCTTTTCTTTTCCTTACTTGAAGGCTCACTGTTCTTTTCCTTTCTTGAGGATGATCTGCTCTTCTCCTTACCCAAGGACTCTCTGCTCTTTTCCTTACCAGAAGACTCTCTGCTCTTTTCCTTACCAGAAGACTCTCTGCTCTTTTCCTTACCAGAAGACTCTCTGCTCTTTTCCTTACCAGAAGACTCTCTGCTCTTTTCCTTACCAGAAGACTCTCTGCTCTTTTCCTTACCAAAAGACTCTCTGCACTTTTCCTTACCAGAAGACTCTCTGCTCCTTTCCTTACCAGAAGACTCTCTGCTCCTTTCCTTACCAGAAGACTCTCTGCTCTTTTCCTTACTTGAAGATGATCTGCTCTTGTCCTTACTTGAAGACTCTCTATTATTTTCCTTATTTGAAGAGAGAATATTCTTTTCCTTACCAGATAACTCCTTGCTTTTTTCACTGGCTGAGGACATGCTGCTCTTTTCCTTATCTGAAAGCACACTGGTCTTTTCCTTTGCTTGATGATTCATTGCTCTTTTCATTACCAGAACACACCTTGCTTTTATCCTTGCCTGAAGATTTGTTTTTGTCCATCCTTGATTTCTGCTTGCTTTCTTTACTTGATTCCTGATGCTTTTCCTTACTAGATTTACCACTTTCCTTTCTTGAAGAGCCTGATAATTTTTCATTATTGTCATTATATGATGGTGCTATAATGTTTTCCTTGCCAAAGAGCTCCTGGTTTTGTCCTTCATCTAATGATTCCTTACTCTCCATACTTGGCGAGTTTATTCCCTCTGGATTCTTTGTCTTATCAGATGAGGGTAACATTTTTATATTTTCTTCTGTATTGGAAGATGTTAATATTTCCTGAGTGTTTTCTCTATTTGACACGGCTGCTGTCTCTTGATTTTCTTCCTTACTGGATGAAGTCAATTTCTCTTGATTCTCTCCCTTACTGGATGAGGTCAATTTCTCTTGATTTTCTTCCTCACTGGATGAGGTCAATTTCTCTTGATTCTCTCCCTTACTGGATGAGGTCAATTTCTCTCGATTTTCTTCCTTACTGTTGAGGTCAATTTCTCCTGATTTTCTTCCTTGTTGGATGAGGTCAATTTCTCTCGATTTTCTTCCTTATTGGATGAGGTCAATTTCTCCTCATTTTTGCCCTTACTGAATGAGGTCAATTTCTCCTCATTTTTGCCCTTACTGAATGAGGTCAATTTCTCCTGGTTCTCTCCCTTAATGGATGAGGTCAATGTCTCCTGATTTTCTCCCTTACTGGATAATGTTAGAATCTCCTGGTTCTCTTCCTTTGTAGATGAGGTTAATGTCTCTTGGTTCTCTCTATTAAATGAGCATAAAGCTTTGTCATTCTCTTCATTAACTGCTGAGCTTAGAGATACAAGATGCTTTTCTTTACTTGAACTTAATGTAACTAATTCTTGACTGTTTTGCCTTTTAAAGGAAACTTTCATGCTCTCTTTATTCAAGTATTCTTTGTCCTTTTCCTTACCTGTGGGTATTTTCCATTTGTCCTTACTTGGCAATTCTTGATTTTTATCTTTGCCTGATGTATCTGATTTTTGGCTCTCATTTTTACCCAATCTCTGGCTTTTTCTTGTATTAATATTTTGAGTCACGTCTTCACCCAAAGGGTCAAGGATACCTTCTTTATATGGTAATGTATGAGCCATATCTTGACTTAATGAAGATTCATGGCTAATTTCTTTGGATGGTTTTTTCCTCTTATCAATGTCTTGTGATGACCCATAGTTGTTTATCTTACTGGGAGAAGACTTTTTCTTAATTGATGGTGAGGAGGAAGATGTGTCGCTCCTTTCTTTATGTGGCACAAATGTAGAGACCTTGTCCTTAGTCAACAATTTGTGGTTAATTTCTTTACTGGATGACACTTCACTGGACTTTTCTTTATTTGATGACCTCCTGCTGTTATCCACACTTAACAACCTCTCATTTTGTTCTTTACTTGTGGACCTTTTGCTCTTTTCACTTCTAGGGGATTTTTTAGATATTTCTTTACTCAGTTCCACATGCTTAGATTTGTATGAAAATTCTTCATGGTTTTTACTTAGTGAATCCTGGTTCCTCTTCTCTTCTGATAAATGCCTAACATTCTTTTCTTTATTATCAGCTGTTTCTCTCTGTGTCATTTTCTGTTTGGAAGCATCAAAGGTAACTTTTCTTTTCTTTACTAATTTTATTACTTTATCTTCACCAAATATTTTCTGCATTTCTCTGTCAAAACCAGTTGAAATTGTATCATTTTTCCTTAATAATTTTTACTGGTCTACTGCAATTCCCATCCTTGTCCATGGCTGGATTCTTTTCTTGAATTTTATCCTTTTGTTTGGATTGCTCTTTATGTTTATCCAAGGAAGTAGATGGATTCTTTTCACACAAAATATTTAAACTATTTTCAGATTCTTTACCAAATATTTCCTCTATTTCCTTGTCAAAACAAGTTGAAATTAACTTCTTATTCTTAGATATTTCTGTTGGCCTACTGCAAATCTCTTCCTTCTGTGGGGATGTAACTGTTTTCTTCTCCTCTTTCCTGTTATCTTTCTGTTTCATGTGATCATCTTTATTTCTATCTGAAGAAGCAATTATATTATTTTTAGATGTATCTGAATAATTTTTTTCAGATTCTGCAACTCCACTTTCACCCGCAGTCCAACATTGGTCCTTTTTAGATTTTTCTACATTCTCAGCTTTATCACACACTTCATTCAGTTGAAATACTGCCTTATCTTGGGCATTTTCTGAATTTTTTGAAGACAGACATTCTTGAATCGCTAATTTTTCTGTGGGAAGGCTTTCATGTTTATCTAATGATCTTGGGCTTTGATGAATCTTACTACTATCCTGTATGCATAAAACCTTTTCCAAGCTTTCAGCATCACTGGTTCCTGGACTACCATTCTCTTTATCCACAAAGATATTTACTCTCTTAGGGTCTTCTCTTATCTGTGTGTCTTCTACATTTTCTTGAGTTTTGAAAGATTCCTCTAATTTTCTTACCTTATCCTCTAACATTTCTTTCTTTGCTTTTACTCTTTGGCAATTTTCCTTTAGTTTCAAACTACTGGGAGTCTCTTCAATTCTAGTTGTAATTTGTATATCCTTACATTTTAGTTTGTCACCATTTCCCTTTTCTTCCATTTTGTCTTTTTGCATTGAGGCATTATCATTTTTATGCTCCTGAGAATTTTCTGAAACTTTTATGCTAGTATCATCTTGAACATTTTTTGTAATATTTGTGGCATTTAAAGAAGATTCACTTAAGCTTAGCTCTGTTTTTGTAGAATCAGAATTTTTTATAATTTTAGGACTCTCTGGTGATATTTTGTCTTTTATATCACTTTCTGATGAATACTTTGATAACTGGCAACTAGGTGTCTCCTCAAATGAATGCTTAGTTATTTTTGATGAACTACTTGAATGTGACAAGTGATCAGGTTCTGACAAATCAATAGTTGATGAGTTATGACTTTTACTCATGTTATGGCTTTCCTCTTCAAATTCACTTAATTTAAATTTTGACAAACTTTCTTCAGAACCTCTGTTTTCAAGTGAACTGCTTTTATGATTCTCTCTATCTGATGTCTCTCTCTTGTCATTCTTACTTTCACTTTGAGATCTGTTATAATGCTTACTTTCTGAGGATTTGAGAGATTTATTTTTACAACTTTGAGTTTTTTCTTTCGGGATTTCAATATTTATATCTTTTAATGCATGCTTATTTAACGAAGATGATTTAGTTGTCACTTGAGCATCATCCACTATCCTACACTGCATGTATGAGCTAGAATTCTGAGTCTCTCTTGTGGACAAATTACTACTGGATACACACAAATGCCTAAATTTCCGATTGTCAAGATCTCTAATATTTATAACAGATCTATCAATTGACACTTTTAATGACACTTTACTCAAATCAGTAGATGAAGTATTTACAGAGGATTCTTCCTCAAATGAGTTAACACACTCTTCACCCTGTGCTTTCCCATCTTTTATTATTAAAGATGATCCAAGCGACTGAAGAATCGTATTTCCCAGTATACTAGTGACAGCATTACTACCTTCAACGAAGTCCACAGACACATCAGCAGTGTGTGAAGCTGTCATCTGGGTGGCATTCTTAGTTGATGTCAACTGGTCATCATCCTTAGCTGTGGTTATCATTTGATTAGCATCCTTGGTTGTGATCATGTGATCATCCTTGACTGCAGCCATCACCTGCTCATCACTATTGTTTGTGGACAATACAAGTTTATCATTTTTTATACTATCTGACCCTTGGACATTACCTATTACCTTGGCTGACACGTGATGATCCAATGCATTGGCTGACACTCGAATATCATCCCTTACCTTGGTTGACACACTATTATCATCCCTTGCCTTGGCTGAGACTTGATCATCTGTTGCCTTTGTTGATACTCCTTTATCTGTTACCTTGGCTGACACTTGACCATCTGTTGCCTTGGATGATGTTTTACCATCCATTGCCTTTGCTGACATTTTACAACCTGTTGTCTTGGCTGACACCTGACCCTCTGTTGTCCTAGCTGATGTTCTATCCTTCATTACTTTACCATCCATTGTTTTGGCAGACACGAAAACATCGACTGACTGGGCTGACATTAGATCATCCACTGTCTTGGCTGTCACTAGATCATCTATTGTCTTGGCTGACACTTTACTATCCATTGTCTTGGCTGACATTTTACCATCTGTTGGCTTGGCTTTATCAATCTTTGTCTTGGATGACATGTTATCATCCACTATCTTAGCTGACATTAGATCATCCATTGACTTAGCTGACACAAGACCATCCGTTGACTTGGCTGAAACTAGATCAGCTGCTGCCTTGGCTGACATAAGATCAATATCTGTTACCTTGGTTGACACTTGATCATCCATTTCCTTGGTTGACATCTGATCAGCATTCATCATCACAGCTACCACTTGATTATCTGTTACCTTGAGTGACATCTGATCATCATCCACTGATGAAACTAAGGCACCAGGATTAGGTATGGTGGACTCATTTTCATTATGGCTAAGGTGTACACCATTCTTGGCTGGTACCTGGATGACATCTTGCATTTTTGATGACACTTCGACATCCTGGGGTGACATCTGGACATCTGCCAGTGGTATCATTTGGGCACCACCCCTAGGTGACTCCCTGACATCACTGGATAACTCTTTTACATCATCACTGGATAACTCTTTGACATCATCGTTGGGTAACTCTCTGACATCACTGCTGTGTGATCCCTGAGCATGATCACTGGGTAACTCTCGGACATCGCTGGATAACTCTCGGACATCATCGCTGGATAACTCTCGGACATCATCGCTGGATAACTCTCGGACATCATCGCTGGATAACTCTCGGACATCATCGCTGGATAACTCTTGGACATCATCGCTGGATAACTCTCGGACATCATCAGTGGATAACTCTCGGACATCATCACTGGATAACTCTCGGACATCATCGCTGGCTAACTCTTGGACATCACTGGCTAACTCTTGGACATCATCACTGGCTAACTCTCGGACATCATCGCTGCATAACTCTCGGACATCATCGCTGGGTAACTCTCGGACATCATCGCTGGGTAACTCTCGGACGTCATCACTGGGTAACTCCTGTACATCATCGCTGGGTAACTCCCAGACATCATCGCTGAGTAACTCCTGGACATCATTGCTGGATAACTCCTGAACATCATCGCTGAGTAACTCCTGGACATCATCCCTGGGTAACTCTTGGACATCATCGTTGGGTAACTCCTGGACATCATCGCTGGGTAACTCCTGAACATCATCACTGAGTAACTCCTGGACATCATTGCTGGGTAACTCCTGAACATCATCACTGAGTAACTCCTGGACATGATCCCTGGGTAACTCTTGGAC